TAATTCTGCATGGTTGGAGTTGCGGGTGAAAGCTGATACCAAATAAAAGATAGTCAACATCAACAACTCCATTAAGTTTAATTTATAAATAAAATAAGAGCAGAGCTTCTTTTGTCTCACCTAGCCATATAGTATTATGTTCACTCTCGCAGTGTTCCAGCTCAGGTCTGATGTGTACGTCGTCATCATGATGTCTCGGCGCTTCCAATGGGAAGGTCTCCACGCGCCGCTGTAGCGGGTCTCGCAGCTGCCACGCCGTTAGCAACACAACATCCACCACTAGCAAACCACCGACCATTGTATACAGCTTCCAACCGTGTACTCGTTTCTATATCAACAATAGAAAATTAATGAAACCAGAGGTACTAAAGCTTAATGTAATATAAACCTACTAAATAGAGATTTCTAACTTTAAACTGTCGTGGTTTTTACAAATGTAATGTTCGTAAGTTACGGGTTTTTTACCAAGACTGGGTTGTTTTAACTCCCGATATTTCAGCACAGTTGCATGTGCCATGCATTCAAGAGTCAGTCCCTAAACATGGCGCATGCAACTGTGCCGAAATATCGGGACCTAAAACCACCCAATCGTAATAAGAAACCCGTATTTTAGAAACATTACAGAAATTTATATTTCACATTGCTACTAATTCAATACTTGCTAAGACTTTATATTTGATTCTATGAGATATTTTATTTTCTCTAATATTAACATCTAACTAATAAATACTCTAAATAAAAGAAGAATCTTCCAAACCAATATCTAAGTCCATTGGTAACTTACGAACTTCAGTACCTCCAGGGAGATCGAATTTATTATCCCCCCTAAACTTTATCAAAGTAACAAAGTTACTAAATTGCCGCTTGGGATTTCACACCGCAAGCAAATATCAAAGCGCATTCTGATATATTCTAGTTATTCATTCAATCATTACTTAAATAACATCTTATATCTTATACTAAATCCACACTAAGGGACAGTTACAAATGACGTTTACTTAATACCTTGGTTTCTGTTTTAGGCTTTGTGGTATGGCGATGCACACGCCAGACTTTAGTGAACATAGCACCGTAAGCCATGGAGAAGCCGATGGCAAGAAGCCAAGCTCGGGCGGCGCAGAGCCCCGTGTAGTGCTGCGGCGTCACCCAGCGCCCGTCGATGCCGAGCGCGACCGCCGCGCCCAAACACACACAGCAACCGCACAACATCACCGTGTTACAAGCTGGATGAGACCACTGAATTACCCTGTGGTTAATAACATCTTTATTATATAAACAGCCAAACTAAATATCTTCAACCAGCCTTCTTAACAAATCTATACTAATGTTATAAAGAGGAAAGATTTGTATTTTTTAATGTATTGAAATAACTCAATACCTACTGGGCCGATTTTAGTAATTCTTTCACCATTAAAAAGCTACAATATCAGTTAGTAACATAGGCTTTGTTTTATTTTTGATTTTTTTTATGTCAAGCGGACGAATTCGCGAGGACTAGTTATAACTAATAATACTAGTTTCGATGTCTGACTTCTTAATAATTAAGAAATAGAATCTTATAAGGAAGAAAGAGTAAATCATAAGAACATGTTACCTTCTATGTCTATGCATCGTGTTAAAGACGATCAATCCGATGGCAGCCAAAATCCCAGCGATACAAAGCGCTGTCATACAAGCGAACAGTGGTAGCGAAACAGTACGGAGTTCATTTACCACTACTGTCCGATCTGGAGGTACTTTACCCCCTGATAAAGCAAAGAAATGAAAATTAATAAATATGTTACAAATTCAAAACCAAGATCACTCAAATTGATTCAATTTTTTGTTAAATCTATGTACTTACCGACCCACTGTTCCTTATCTAACCAGGTCAGGTTATCAGCTTGAGTATCGTAATATCCAAGCTTCACATAATGATTGTTAGAAAGTTGTTCTATCTGAGTCAATGCTATTCGATCTCCTTGCGATGAAAATGCAACTAAACCCTACAAGAAAATAAATTTTTAATTACTCCATACCAATTATTATCTTAAAAAAATCTAAGGACTTACAGAAACGCCTAAAAACGATGTTGAATTTATTGCTTCGTAAATGTCGTCGGCAATTTTTTTATTAGTGTAAGTAAAGTTCTTTAAGCTCAAACCGTTCTTCTCTAACTTCTCCATGGTCTTGTTAAAAGCTAGAAGAATACATTTTGATTATAGAATGCAGAAAAGATACGAAATAAATTTATTATATTAGGTAGAATATTACCGAGCGCGACAGCCCAAACAGCGTCATATGCTAAAGGTGCTTCTTGATAGCCTTCTGGAAATCTCTCCCCATCTATGTCGTACCCAGCTTCTCTGAGAGCTTCATTTAGACGTGATCTGGATAGGAATTATATAATTTTGTTAAGTAACCTAAAACTCCAAAATAAATTCGCAGATTGTAACACTATCCAAGAATTTACTAGATGAGACACATGTGAATGAATGTTTACATTAAATTATTCCTCGTTTACCTAAAATCTTCAGATGTCATTCCAGATATCGTAGTCTGATTAGCATTCTGGTTCCACATAAGAGCTTCTGTCGTTAAATGTCCTTCGGCTGCTTCTCGCATCTGTTCCACAGTACAGTCTATGCCTTCACGTTCTAAATTTGTTTCGAACCAATTATCCTCATACCAACCTATGGTAAAAAAAATGGAATATCATTTCATATTTCATTAAAGTAACCACACATGTCTCAAACATTTTTACTTCTGTGTTTACTTATATTTTAATAGTTTAGTTTAAGAGCGTGAGCAAACCTAAAACTAAACTATAGCGGAACTGTTTGGTCTCGCTTTGATACTTATCAGCTTATATGGAGGTGCGTACACTACTCCATTTTTAGTTCTGCAACTGCGAAACAATCGACAATCACACAGTAATTGTGCGATAGTTTAGTCAAAGGTGTAAGCATGCGATAAATAAATAAAGTCCAACACCACAAAGTGAACTAAATCACTATGAACTAGGTAGTTTGGGAGTGAGCCAGAGTATATTAAGATATGAAAATTGGATCCCCGCTTTGTTTAAAGTTAACACAGAGTTCTATTAATATGGATATCAAGTTGATGTAGCAATTATTACGTTTCAGTGAATATATACAATCTTCAGAAACTATTAAAACACAAGTCAGAACCTTCTAGAAACGATTTTACTTAAAACTTTCCCCTAACGTTTAAAACTTTTCTTTCCACAATTTGTACAAGAAATTCTAAATAATCAGAATTAACAAAAAACAGTCGCGTAAAAGCCAATTCGATTGAAATTTTAGATTTACAAAACTTATATGACGAAAATTATTGTATCTTGTTTATTCAAACTTGTGAAACTAGACATGGATATGAGCTTAATGAAGTAACTTGTTAAGCTAACATCAGTTAGGTGTCTCATTGTAGGAAAATGGCGGCATAATTTAATTAAATCTCGCAAGGTGTGCCGCAGCGGTGTAAGCCACAGTTAAACTTAATATAGTATCATATAACGAAGTACACATTTAATAAGGTAAACCAGCATTAAATAGACAATAAAACATAAATAAACCAATGAAATAATTATTAGTTGGTTTCTGAAGCTCAGTGAATCTCTTAAACATGATATTTTATCAGATTAATAGCCGGTTTCCCAGCTACGTTTAATCATTCGTTAGAGTTTTTGTGAAATTCGTGAAATGCGTTTCCGAACTACGTAACTTGAGTTTTACTCTATTAAACTTAGGTCAATCTATAACTAAAGAATCACTGGGTAATGACAAAATAAATGGTAACTTCAGAAACCCAGCATAAATTGACTAGAATTAATGGCGATAAAATCGACTAAAGTTAGATCAATAAATATTCCAAAAATAAACATATGATAACTAACATTATCTTTTCTTTATTATTCGACAATATTTTACATTTAGATTGACTTCGTATTTTTATCTACTTACCAATAAAAAACCAAACGTAAGATTTTCCGTAGAGTCGATGTTTGTATACTTCAC